CAGCAGGAGGTGCTAGTGAGACACTGAAGAAGTTGGACATAAGGCACAGAGGAAAGGTAACCAAGTCATGTGGTAGAATGTAGATTAATAAAAGATTAATTTAAGTTATAAGAGCTAGTTAGGAAAAAGCCCAAGTGTCCAAGTGTCCATAATTAATAAGAAGTCTCTGTGTCGTTATTTGTGAGCTGTCAGCCCAAAGAAAAATCCAGCTACAGCTGCAAACATCTGTAATCCCAATACCAGGGAGGCAGAGACACATGGGATGTTGGAGTGTACTGGTCAGCCAGCCTAGCAGAATAGTTGTGTTCTAGCTTCGGGGGATCTCTTCTGGTCTCCACTGGCACTACACTCATGTTCACAGGTTTTTCTCTTTCTACACACACACACACACACACACACACACACATCAATAATTAGAAATAAAATCTAGCCAGGTGGTGGTGCACTCCTTTAATCCCAGTACTCAGGAGGCAGAGGCAAGTGGATCTCTGTGAGTTTGAGGCCAGCCTGGTCTACAGAGTGAGTTCCAGAATAGCCAGGACTACACAGAGAAACCCTGCCTCAGGAAAAATAAAAATAAAAAACAACAAACAAACAAACAAAAACTTTAAAAAAGTAAAACAAAAGGATGAATCATGTGGCTCAATGGTAGAACACTTGCCTAGCATTCCTGAGGACAGAAATTATGGCATATCTGTAAAACATCATCTTCAGCAATCAAAGAACTATTGATATATACAACATTGGTGAATCTTAAAGTAACCATGCTGAATGAAAGAAGTCACTTACCAAATATATTCTTACTCTACAATTCCATTTACATAATATTATAAATTTTAAAAAAAAGATTTCTTAAAATTTATTGTGTTATGGGTGGGGGGACAGGAAGCCAAAAGAAGGCTTCAGATCTTGTCTTAGTTACTTTTCCATTGCTGTTATAAGACATCATGACCAGGGCTGGAGAGATGACTCAGATTAGGAGCACTGACTGCTCTTCCAGAGGTCCCGAGTTCAATTCTCAGCAACCACACGATGGCTCACAACTATCTATAATGAGATCTGTTGCCCTCTCCTGACATGTAGGCATACACACAGTCAGAACACTGTATACATAATAAATAAATAAATCTTTAAAAGACACCACGGCCAACACAACTTATGAAAGAGTTTATTTGGAGTCTACAGTTTCAAAAGGTTAGTTAGAGCTAACTAACTAACATCATCATGGTGGGGTACATGGCGGAGTAAGGCAGCAGATAGGCAGGCAGCTGAGCGTTTACATCTTGGTCCACACACATGAGGCAAGCAAAATTAACTGGGAATGGGGTGGGCCTTTTGAAACCTCAAAGTCCATTCCCTGGTGACACACCTTATCCAACAAAACATATCCCCAAATCCTTCCCTAATGGGTTCACCCAAGTGGAGACCAAGCATTCAAATATATGACCCTCATTCAAACCCTGGAGCTGGAGTTACAGGTGTATGTGAGCAGTCAGATTAGATTAGTATCCCCCTGTTAGTTAACTTTTACAGACCCTTAGTATTTCCTTATCTCTTCGTATCAGCCAGGAATGTCTCCAGACCTGACATTTCAGTTAAAACAATGGCATAGCAACCTACCCACCCCCTCCCCTTTTGCTATATAATGCTCCTGAGAAAAAAATAAAGTTGGCAGCTTGATCAGAATACAGACTTGAGGTCCGTTTCTCGAGTCTTTTGCCCCTTCATTCCTCTCCCTTCAAGGTTCGTGCTGTGCTCCCGTTCATGTCCCACTGGTTAGGACACATATTTGTAATATATGTAAATATTTCTTATTTTGTATCAAATAGTACACTAAATAAAAAGATAAAAGTAGTTTTACAGTTTTTAAAGGGTGTTTTAGGCAGGTATTTCATTTTATTGTATTTTTTTCCTCTGCATGAATGTCTGTGTACCACATCTGTGTGTCTAGTGCCTAAGTAGATTAGAAGAAGGTATCACATCCCCTGAAGCTGGTGTTACAAATGATTGTATGCGAGCACTGGGCCCTGGGAACCCGACTCCAGGTTCTAGTAAGTGCAACAAGAGCTTTTAGCTGCTGAGTCATCTCTCTGGATGTATTTTTAATGTTTTAAAATTATATTATTAATTAATTAATTGTGTGGATGTGTCTGTGTCTGTTGTTGAATTTTTTTTACTCTTTGCTCTTCGGGGGCCCATTACCCAGCTCCCAAATAATTACATAGAGGCTTATTCTTACTTATGAGTGCTTGGCCTTGTCTTGGCGTATTTTTAGTCAGCTTTTATTAACTTAAATTATCCCATCTACCTTTTGCCTCTGGGCTTTTTCATTTCTCTATTCTACACACCTTTCTTTACTTCTTACTTCATGGTTTGCTGTATAGCTGCCCCTGTATGTTGACCCCTGGTGTCCTTTCTCCTTCTTTTTCTCATTCTTCCCTCTTCTTCTTCCTCCTATTTAATCTTTCTCCTGCCTAGTTATTAGCTGTTCAGCTCTTTATTAGTCTAATTGGGTGTTTTAGGCAGGCAAAGTTACATAGCTTCACAGAGTTAAATAAATGCAACATAAAAGAATACAACATGGTGGCACATTCCTTTAATTCCAGTATTTGGGAGGCAGAGTCAGGTGGATCTCTGTGAGCTCAACGCCAGCCTGGTCTACAGAGCAAGTTCTAGGACAGTCTCCAAAGCTACAGAGAGGCTCTCTCTCTCTCTCTCTCTCTCTCTCTCTCTCTCTCTCTCACACACACACACACACACACACACACACCACATCTTTGCATCACTAAACAAATAATTCCACAGCATAAACAAATGTGATAAATCTTGAACTAATATTCTATAGCAGTGTCTGTGTGTTTGTGTGTGTGCATGTATGCATGTATATACTGTGGCCCATGTGTGGAGGTCAAAGAACAACTTTTCGTGACTGTTCTCATCTTCCACTTTGTGGGTCTCAAGGATTGTACTCAGACAGGCTTGGTGGCAAGAGCCTTCATTTGCGAAGAGATTATTCCAGTCCTAGTTATGTGGGTTTTTTTGTTTTTATTATTATTATTGATTCTTCAAGACAGGATTTCCTGGTTGTCTTGGAACTTGTTGTGTAAACCAGGCTGGCCTCAAACTCACAGAGATCTGCCTGCTTATGCCTCCCAAGTGCTGGAGTTAAAGGTGTGTACCATCACCTGGTTTCTAATTGTGTTTTTAAATTTTATTTGCTTTTATTTTATGTGTATGACTTCTATCTACATGGAAGAACACTGGTGTGTGTAGTGCCCCCAGAGGTCAGGAGAGGGCAGCAGAGCCCCTGGAACTGGAATTTCAGGTGTTTGAGAGTAGCCAAGCAGATTTAAGGTTCATTCTGCCTTCATTTTATGCTTAAAAGCCAGGTTACAGTAAAGACAAACTAGGCCCATTCCTGTTTATGATTGAACCTGTTTCTCAAGGTTGGACAACGCCCCACCTGTAACCTTAGCTGCAAATGGTTCTGTATGGCCTGTTTCGGGAAGCTGCAACCATGTCTTTGCTTCAAAAAGTCATAACTATCTTGAACCCTACCTTTGTTTCAAAGGTTATTATGACTAACTTGTTATCAACTCCCTTGCAATCATATCTTTGCTTTAGAAGATTGAAATTTTTATGCTTATGTCTTGTTCCTGTAGCCTCACTTATTTTGCCCATCAAATCATTTGGGAACCCCTTACCCCTAAACGACAAGAATCTTGTTTTCCACACATCCAAGGCTGATCTCTTGAACTCCACTTTTAGGTGCACATGAATAAAAAAGCTTGCTTTAGTCAGTATTGCCATGATGATTTGGGTCTGTGGTCTTTTTCCTTGAATTTTTGGGGTTGCTCCCCCACCCCCACAGGGTTTCTCAGGCTGTCCTAGAATTTACTTTGTATACTAGGCTGGCCTCGAACTCTCAGAGATCAGCCTGCCTCTGCGTCCCAAATGCTGGGATTAAAGGTAAGTACCACCACTGCCTGGCTGTGGCAAATACTCTTTTGTTGTTGTTGTTGTTGTTTGTTTTTCGAGATAGGGTTTCTCTGTAGCTCTTGTAGACCAGGCTGGCCTCGAACTCTCAGGAATCCGCCTGCCTCTGCTTCCCCGAGTGCTGGGACTAAAGGTGTGCACCACCACTGCCCAGCTGTGTTGAGCAATCTCTCCAGCTCCTTCCAGCTATATTTTTATTTACTTTGTATGTGAATATGGCCATACAGAGTTAAAAGCTAGCACGGGTTGTTTTTCTCACCATCTCATTTTTTTTTTTTTTTTTGGCGGGGGAAGGGCAGGGGTGATAGAGACAGGGTTTCTGTGTGAAACAGTCCTGGCTGTTCTGGAATTCGCTTTGTAGAGCAGGCGGACCTAGAATTCATAGAGATCATAGAGATCCCCCGTTTCCCAAGTGTAAGGATTAAAGGTGTGCACCACCATTGCCCGGTGCTCTCTCTCAATCTCTCTTTCTCTCTCTTTTAAGAAGTCTTTTATTTGCATGGCTTTTTGTGTGTAAACCACCAGAGTGCTTGGTGTTCTGGAGGCCAGAAAAAGGCCTCAGATGCTCTGATATTATTATCAGATAATAATGATAATTATTGTATGATATTATACATGGTTTTTCTGTATAACAGCTCTGGTTGGCCTAGAACTGGTTTTATAGACCAGGCTAGCCTCGAACTCACAGCTTCCCGAGGGCTGGAATTCCAGCCGTACACTCTCACGCCTGGCTTCCGCCACTCGGTTTCTAAGAACGGAGACCTGTTTCGAAGGCCAATAAAGTACCTAGAAAGTACGAATTCCGAGCTCCAAGCTATTGAAGATATCCTGTAGGGGAAAGAAGTTTTCCGAACCCAGGTGGCCCCGCCCAGGCCGCTCGCCTGGTGTTGGCGCCAAACTTTCCAGCTCTTCTCGCGGAGTGAATTACTTAGTCTCGCGAGAGGCGCTGTTCGCGCGGTCGGCGGTCGGTGCCGTTTGCTGGAGGTGAGACCCGTTTTGGTGAGGGTGACTCTGGAAGGAGGCGCTTCGCCGGAGGTTCTGGAATTTCGGCGCGGGGCGCGGCGACTGAGGCGAGGCGGCAGGAGCTAGGCGGCAGGGAGGCTGAGGAGGACCCGAAGGAACAGGCGGGAGCATGGCGGGCCTCCACCGCGCGCACACGCCCTTCGCGCCAAGCGTCGGGACGGATAGATAATAGGGGGTGAATGAAGCAGACTGGCCGGGAGGGAGGATGCGAAGGCTGGAGAAGAGGAAAGGGAGACGTGATATTTTTAGGGATGGCACCCAGAGTGAGTCAGGATGCTGGAGTCCTTTAAGGTGAGGAGCTTGTTTGACAGCTGGAAATAAAGGTTAGTAAGGTGTGGGAAGGAATTGCCAGTCGGATGTTGAATTTGTCCCCCATACTTCTGGGAGTTTGAGGACCAGGAAGGGAGAAAGACGCCTAGCGAACGACGCTTGCCCGCTTGCCGTGTGTACCGATAAGCCCCACCTCGTGCTTTACTCTTTACTTACTGGTTATTGTAGTTTTAAGTCCTGCTTTCAAACTCCCATTGGGATGGCACTAAACGTACTTACTAGATGTTTGGAGGTTTGGGGCCTTGGTATGGGGCTAGGCTAAGAGCTACAGTCTCCAGCCTTAAACATACTATGCAACTTTCTTTTTGGCTCCCCAAAACTATGGTTCATAAAACTTACTCAAAGACTTAGCGACTTATTATCCGAGAGTCAGTGCTTTGTTTTTATAGATTTTATGGTCATAGAATTTAGAACTGGGGCCAGCTAGGTGCTCCATAGGTAAAGATGGTGCTTAAGAGTTTGATCCTCCAGTGCTCATGAAAAGGTGGAAGACCTGAGTTCAGGGTTCCTCTTGCCCATTCATATCATATACACACACACCAATAATAAGTAAAAATTATATAATAAAAGTTGAAAATATAGATTGGGGTTTTTTTGTTTTGTTTTTGTAGATCGGGTGTCTTTTGTTTGCTTGGTTTTGGTTTTTCGGGCCAGGGTTTCTCTGTAGTTTTGGAGCCTGTCTAGGCTGACCTGGAACTCACAGAGATCCACCTGCCCGTGCCTCCTGAGTGCTGGGATTAAAGGTGTAGGTCACCACCGCCCACCTGATTAGTATTTTTTTTTTAAATACACACACACACACACACACACACACACAGTGTTCTGCAGGCCAGAAGAGGGCACCAGATCTCATCATGGGTGGTTGTTTGCCATGTAGTTACTGGGAATTGAACTCAGGACCTCTGGAAGAGCAGTCACTGCTCTTAACCACTGAACCATCTCTCCAGCCCTGATTGGGGTGTTTTAAACATGTTTGAGTCCAAATATGTTTAGTTTTGGAGGAAACTTTGGAAATTTATGTATTCATTTTTTTGTTTGTTTGTTTTTTTTGCAACAGGGTTTCTTCGTGTAGTCCTGGCTGCCCTGGAACTCTGTAGACCATGCTGGCCTTAAACTCACAGAGATAGTTTGCCTCAGTGCTGGGATTAAAGGTGTACGCCACCACCACCTGGTGAAATTTATTGTTTTTGAGATTTACTTTATTAGAATGTGTGAGGCAGGACTAAGTGCACATGAGGCCAGGTGTCAAATCCACTGAAGCTGTAGTTAGAGGCATTAGTGAGCTGTTCAGTGTGGGTGCTGGCATCTAAACTCAGGACCTCTGTAAAAACAGCCTGTGCTTTCAGCCTCCAGCTCAAGCTTTTTACTTTTAAAGATGGGGATTCTCGTGTAGCCCAAAGTGGTCTGGGCTTGACCCAGCTGAAGATAACTTTGAATTTCTGATCCTCTTGAGGGCTGAGCTTGCAAACCCATGCACCCCTACACATACATCTGGTTTATGACATACTGGAAATTGAACCCAGCGTCTTGTGGATGCTAACCAAGCCTTCCACCAACTGAGCTACCTCTGCATTGTGTATTGTGGGTGTGTTTGTATAGACAAGGTCTCTTGCCCATACTGGACTCCTCGATTCCTACTTTAGACTCAGTATTAGGACTACAATGTATATCGCTTGGAATTCTTTTTTATTTCCTTCCTGTAGTAAATATATATTATCTGTTGCATACTGAATTTGGGACATAGTGGTGGAACACAAAGATACCTGTCTGATTTTTGTTCTAAGAAAGGTACATTTTATTATAGAAGACTAACATTAAATAAAACCTAATAGAGAGATGATGATTCCTGTGAAACTTCTGTATGGTGGTGTTAATTGCTATAAGAGGATTCTGGGCAATAAAGGTGGCCTATCAGGTAACAGTGCAGTACAAATATGATGATTTGAATTTGATTCTGAGATGATGAAAGTCGGAAAGTTGTCCTTAGGGCTTCCACGCCTGCTCACTGTGTTGTTATTCAATTGAGGGACATTTAAATACTCTAAGAGTCTCAGGCTGGCCTTGAAGTAATTGAGGATGGCCTTGAACTCTGTTCCACCTTCCTCTACCTTTGGTTGGGATTACAGAATGTCTCAACCATTCCTGATTTGAGATAGGTTTTCCTGATGAAGTAATAGTTAAAATTTGAAAGAAATTAGGGGTCAGGGATGAGCTTTCAAAATGCAGGTAATGTTAGCATTTGGGGAGTAGAGGCAGGAGGATCAGGAATTGGAGGCCAGCTTGGCCTATATATGACCTTATTTCAAACAACAAAAATGGTGCTCAGTGAGTGTCAGAGATCTACTGCTCTTGAAAAGGACCTGGGTCCTGTTTCCACCACTCAAACCTGCTTATATCACCTTTTGCTTCTTTGGACATTTTCATATTCATGTTGCATACAAACCCAGGCAAACACATAGGTAAAAATAATTCTTTGTTAGGAGGTGGTGGTGTATGCCATTAATCTTACTACCCGGGAGGCAAAGACAGTGGTTCTCTGAGTTCAAGACCAGCCTAGTCTACAGAGCAAGTTCCAGGACAGCCCGGGCTATACAGAGAAGCTCTGTATTGTAAACCCCCCTCCCCCCGCCGCCAAAACAAACAAACAAACAAAAAACCCAAAAAAAAAATTACTTTATCAAACAAACATCCAGGTTCTTTACAGGGGAAATTGTTTTAAGAAATTAAAAAAAGAGAAAGTATGAGAGATATGGTATGAAGTGAAGTTTACATGGTATAAATTTTATTCTTTTGTTTGTATGTTTTTTAGTTTTTCAGGATGGTTTCTCTTGGTAGCCCTGACTGTCCTGGAACTGGATCTGTAGAGCAGGCTGGCCTCGAACTCAGAGATCCACCTGCTTCTGCCTCCTGAGTGCTGGGATTAAAGGCCTTCCCCACCATTGCCAGTAAAATTTTATTTTTATTTTTTAATTTATTTTTATTTCATGTGCATTCATGTTATACTTCATACATGTGTATGAAGATGTTGGGTTCCCTAAAATTGGAGTTACAGGCTGTATGAGCTGCCATATGGGTGCTGGGAATTGAACCTGTGTCCTCTGGAAGAGCAGCCAGTGCTCTTAACTGCTGAACCGTCTCTCCAGCCTCTTTTAAAAGGATCTCTTGGTCCAGGCCAGCTTTGAACTTGTTAGGTAACCAAGGCTAACCTTGAGTTCTTGATTTTCTTTCAAATGCTGGGATTTTACAGGTGCCACCATGCCTAGCAAACATTATTTTTCTCCACTGAATTTTTTTTCTTTTTTAAGACAGTGTCTCTAGCCGTAGCTGTCCTGAACTTGCTATGTACATCATACTAGCTTCAACTCAGATCTGCCTGTCTCTGCCTCCTTAGTGCTGCACTTAACATGTGTACCATCACATCCAGCTCCATGCAGTTCCTTTTTTTGTTTATTTGGTTTTGTTTTTTTGTTTTTTTTTAAACTTATTTTTTTTTATTTATTTATTATGTATACAGTATTCTGCCTGCATGTGTACCTGCACCCCAGGAGAGGGCACCAGATCTCATTATAGATGGTTGTGAGCCACCATGTGGTTGCTGGGAATTGAACTCAGAACCTCTGGAAGAAGAGTCAGTGCTCTTAACCGCTGAGCCATCTCTCCAGCCCCCCCCCCCTTTTTTTTTAATACAGGCTGCACAGTGTAGCACAGGCTGGCCTTAAACTCAGAGATCCATCTGCCTCTGCCTCCTGAGTGCTGGGCTTAGAGGCATATGCCATGATCACCTGGCTGAAGGAAAAATATTAAAGGAATATTTTGAAAATTAAATGGGCAGGTTAAATTGAGTGCAAGAAGGAAGTGTCAAAGGTGACTTGTAAATCTTTTACTTGAACAGCTTGATGGGCATCACTCACCGAATTAAGATCATTTAGTTACTCAGTTTTGTATGTGATGAGCTTAAATGCCCTTGAGAGACTTGAGAGCTGCAAAAGGAATAGTGGGGGTGTCTATGCTGGAAGAAAAAAATTCATAACTCCAGGACAGCCGGGACTGTTGCACAGAGAAATCCTGACTCAAAAAAAAAAAACAAAAACAAAAACAAAAACAAACCCCAAAAATTCGTAAACTGGGGACTGGAGTGATGATGTCTCAGTGATTTAGATTACTGGCTGTTCTTCCAGAGGACCTGGGTTTGATTCTCATCTACTTGGTAGTATAACACACACTCCCTATACACACACACACACGCACACACACATATATAATATATACACACATATATATATATGGATGGATACATAGATAGATAGATAGATAGATAGATAGATAGATAGATAGATAGATA